ACTAAATACAATAATACAAAACTGATCTCATGAAAACAGTATAAACGTAAATTTAGAATAACTAAATAGGGTTACGAGCCAAGTTAGTTCACCAAATTAACACAAAGAATTACTAATCATAGTATTCCACCTGACACAATAGTTATTAACAAACAATATGGTCATACTAGAGATCTCTATAAAATGCCAGCCCATTTCATATCCACATACTTTAATGGAAACTCAGATTTATACTCACTCTGGCAATACTTAAAAATCAAGCTAAATCTACCAGATGCAGGTAATACTTTCTATACAGATAGATCAATAGTAAACTCTGATTCACCCATAATTTCAGCAGGAGCAGCATGAACTTCATGGCCACCTAAAGTGGATTTCAAATTCTCAATCACCAACTCACTATTCACAACAAAAACAGAAGTGTTCACTATTTGTGCCTTGTCAGAAATACTACCAGAAAACTCAAATGTATTAATTTATACTGACAGTCAATCAGCCATTCAGGGATTCAAGAACAATATCCTATCACGACTATTACAATTAGCTCAATTTTTGTATCAACAACCTAACTGGCCATTATGGGAAATTCTTGATACCAATATCAATAATAAAACTCTTAATATCACATTTCACAAAGTTAAAGGTCATTCCAATAATCCAGGCAATGATCTAGCTGATAAACTCGCAAATCAGGATCACAAAGTGGATATTCTTTACATTAATTATCAACAATTACCACACACCAATTTCACACCCATATTCAATCAAACCATTCCTATAGATACCAATCTGAGAACATTTCTTAAAAAAATACATCATCATTCTTGCATTTACAAGTAACAGAAAGAATCAAGAATCAAATACAACCTGTAATCCTTAATACAAAGTACAGACTGGTCTGATACACTCTCAGTATGGAATCAAAATGGTGGAATTAATAGCATACAAACTATCACTCATACTTCCAAACTCCGTACTTTCTTTGTCAAGTCATTTCACAATATGCTACTCACTCTACAGTATCTTAAAATCCGTAAACCTCACATTTATAAAGATGACATTTGCTATTTATGCAAATCAGCTGTCAAAGATCAATCTCATTTATGGACTTGTCCAGCAGCTAGTAAAGCAAGATCCACTATCAGTCAACAATTATTATCTCAATTGTATAATTCCTTTATCTTATCTTGTAGTAATTCAACAGACATTCTATCCAGAAAAATCTTTCAGACTTATCTACAGATATCTATAATCTTCTCAGACTTATTTGATCCTAATCCTTCAAACATCATTGACACTAGTGTACTTTTTGGAATAATACCAAAAGAGCTTCTTTAATTCTTCATATTCCAACAACTTTTAATATTAATAGCGAAAAAAATAGCAATTCACTTCATTAAATGATTATCCCAACAATTTTATAAATAGATTTGATTTCCCTATTGTAAAGCAATCAACATACATGAAAAATCTCAAGGAATCATACGAGTACACAAATATCACAAACAGCCATCCCGTAAAGGCAGACCCAAAGGCATCTCTATATCACAATCATATCAAACCATCTATAAAACATGGTCAAACCCTTTCCTCTGTGCATGTGGATTTCCAGACAATCAATATCATGACCAGCAATGCCCATCCCAAGCTATCATCTCAAAAAAAATTAATGAAATCACTCAAAGAGTTTTTAGTTTGCAAATTAAACCTTGTAAATTAATATTTCTATTAGAACTAGTTTAGTTTTAGACAGGTCCAAGGTGGCTAGTCACATCTTATATTTTTAATGTAATATGGATGATCTCCGATCTATCATCTATTTTATTATGTATTTTAACATAACATAGAATTAATGTAGACAAGAGATAAGACTACACTGTAACTTTATAATAATAATAATAATAATAATAATAATATATTTTCATTATTATTATAAATATTAAATTCATGATAATGATAAAATTTTCTTTTTTTATATGATTATTTTATTATTATTATTATTATTATTACTTTTTCTTTTTTATATAATAATATTAATATTAATATTAATATTAATAATATATAAAATGATATCTTATCTAGTAAAAATAATGATATATTATTATTAGATTTATTTTTTATTTTGTAATGTCTTAATATTTAAGATTATTATATTACTACTACTAATAATAATAATATATATTTTTATTATTATTATAAATATTAAATTCATGATAATAATAAAATTTTCTTTTTTTATATGATTATTTTGTTATTATTATTATTACTTTTTCTTTTTTAATATTAATGTTAATGTTAATAATATATGAAGTAATATCTTATCTAATAAAAATAATGATATATTATTATTAGATTTATTTTTTATTTTATAATATCTTAATATTTGAGATTGTCATATTAATACTAATAATAATGATAATAATAAATTTTCATTATTATTATAAATATTAAATTTATAATAATGATAAAATTTTTTTTTATATGATTATTTTCTTTTTTATATAATAATAAGATAAAAAATATTAATAATAAATGATAATAAAAATAATATACTTTCATTACTATTATAAACATTAGATTCATAATAGTAATGAAATTTTCTTTTTATATGATTATTTTGTTGTTGTTATTGTTGTTCTTTTTTATGTAATAATGTTAATGTTAATGTTAATGTTAATGTTAATGTTAATAATATATGAAAATGATATCTTATCTAGTAAAGATAATAATATATTATTATTATTATTATTAGATTTATTTTTTATTTTGTAATGTCTTAATATTTGAGGCTGTCATGTCAATAATGATCTATAAATTAATAAGAAAAATTTTAAGAAATAAAGATAATGAGAAAGAAGAGAGAAAGAAATAGAAATTAAAAAGGAAGAGCAAGAGCAAGAGAAAGAGAAATGAGAAAAAACATGTTTTTTCTTCCTATCCCACATTTTTTCTTCAGAAATTATGCGTAAAAAAATGTGTACATATATGTCATGAAATAAAGTGGAAAATGTTAAGACGGAACTTTCTTTTTCTCACATACTCAATTACAAACCTTTCTTTTTGTTTTCGATTTGTTTACGATTTGTTTAATATGCGTCGCGTATCATCAATCACGTGCTTGGAAATTTGGCCCGGGTACAAATTCGGTTATTTCCTAACGAGAACATATAATTCTGGCCGGAATTAATAACCGCTGCCAGATCAATTTGTATTATTAGGGTGTCCCTAAAAATTAAAAAATTGTGCATGTGTGAAGAAAAAGTTTCTCTTCCCAATCAACGAAATAGAAAGTTTGAGTATAGAGGAATTAATCAAATTTTTGAACGGACAAAACTTAATGCTTACGGAAAATCATTTCGAAGTTTTTCGTAAACAAGATATTGATGGTTTAGCCTTCCTTGAATTGAGTCAAGAAGATCTTGAAAGGTGTGGGTTCTTATTATGACGTTCTTACAATATTTCATTATCTTAGTTATTATTCCTGCAATAATAAAACAATTAATTCAAAGCCCTGATCAACTGCCTAACAAATCTGACTTAGCCAATTCCTTAACGAAAAGCTTCCTGTAAAAATACCGCATGTCCCTGTTCATTTTCTCCAATTTAATAGCTAAAGAAGAACGAGATACATATTTTGACTATTCCTTTATGGGATAGTATTATTAAAAATACGTTAGAGATATTTGGATGCATAGCGCTAGTTTACCAACATTGGATTAGATCATAATACAGGCAAAGTAGTAGCAATTAATCAGCATGATATATATTAACAAGAAAAATCATAGGCCGCGATCGCCCAGACATGGTTGTATTAGTGAGAAACGTTTGTCCTTTTCGAGGTGAAGAAAATTCTCCGGGAAGAAGCAGGAGATCCTTCAAATGAATTAGTGGATAGATTCAAAGATTGAACCTATGGAGATGCACCATACATCTTTGCATACTATGCTACTGGTGTTCAAGTCACATTTTTAATTTGAATAAGCCTGAAAATAAGGAGAAAACTGAACGTTCTGAACGGATTGCAGAATTTAATCTAGGGCGTTTGTCAGATAGAATTCGCATTATGAATTTCCTTCGAAATATTTGTAAGCTTTTTGAGCTTTTAAATTATTATCACAAAACGCTAATTCACTCTTGGTGCCATAACTGCAAGCATTAATTTGTACACTAACTTGGTTGAAGGTAGTGTTTAGCAATATTTTATTATTACGTATACATATTATATTTATACATTTTTATAATGTTCAAACAAGGTATGCATGAAATTATGTTCGATGACCATTACGACGGATATCAAAGATTCATTTTAATCGACTTTGATTATACTAACTTTTCCCTTGCTGATGAGCCTTTGGAAGAATTTTCTGAAGTGATCATGCCCCTGAAATGCCAATTAAAAGGGCATAATTTTAAGGTTGATGTATGGGGCGTTGGTAATTTAGTTAATCATGTAATGTCACAGGCATTCCTCAAGAACTTTTAAGCTTCAGCATGGATTTATGTGTAAGTAATCCAAATAATCGACCAACTGTTCTTGATCGGGTAAAATTATCTATCTATATATATATATATATAATATATATATATATAGCTTTTTTATTTGTAATACATCTTAACAAAGTTTAAAAATTCAGTGGAGATCGAAACCGCATAACGTTGGACTAGTTTAATTTTATGGACTTCAACTTTATTAAATAACATAAATAACATTAGCATATTAGTAATAGAGTAATATTGTATTTTTCGTATTCGGAAGTATTTATATCAGAAAATAAAATTATTTGAGAAATAAAGTTATTTTACTCGCGAATTTTTTGATTTTGTAATTTAATATAATGGTAGCATACCTAAAAGATAAATATATGTTTCTTTATTTCGTACAAAAAGATCATAGACAAGAGAAAAAAAATATGAATACAAAATATATTCAGCGCGGATCACGTGTCGTGAATCAAATTGCCATATTATTGATATATATTTTCTTATCAGAGCAAATATTTTTAGTGTAAACGATGTTTAGGATATAAATTTCTTCCCGCAAAACAGGGATCAAAGTCCAAAGTTTCACCGCCATAGATAAATTGCTCTTCAAGCATTCTTTGATTCAATGAAGCTACATCGGGATATACTGAAGCTGTTTCCAACTCTGAGCAAGATGTAAGCTCAGCCCGTATATAATCATCCAAGTTTTCTGACCTACGAAATAATTATTTAAGATGTTACCATATGAATTTCATACAAGTTTTTTCAAGGACTAAATTAATAGAGAACTTGCAAATTATCTGAATAATAGTCATAAATGGTTCTTGAGACTGGGTTTTCTTCATCTAAAATCGGCTGCTTCGAGAACCACTCATATTTATTACCATCAAAAAAATAAATCATGTTCTCATCATCTTTTTCATTTTCCCCCATGTCGTTAATCATTTGGATGGCATTTTCTATTTCAATTGAATCATTATCTGATATATTGATGTTGTTGACAGTAACATCACAATCACCAATGATTTCATCAAAGTCATAATCTTGAGCCGAATTTCTTTCGTTAAGAACCGCAACATCGAGATCAAAATCATTACAATTGTTATTGTCAGTGATTTTGTGTTCCAAATCATTTATCATTCTAATTATCTCATCGCTTCTAATACTAGTAACAGGAGAAGCTGCTTGCGACAAAGTTATTTCTTCATTTCTTCCTTCAGAAAGTCCCACTTCATCATCATCATCATCATCATCATCATCATGATGATGATGATTATCATTATTGACGAGAGATAGCGCTTCATTTTCAGTATTCAAGTTGTCTTTTGGAGTGATATTTTGTTCTTCATTTTCAGTAGTTAGACTGTTTTTTGGAATGGTATTTTGCGCTTCATTTTCAGCATTCAAGCTATCTTTTTGAGTGACATTTTGTTCTTCATTATCAGATGGCTCTTCTGGAGTTTGTTCAGTTTCTTGTTGGTTCATTTGAAGTTCCTTTTTGTCTTGAGATGTACAAATAGGCTCTAGGCCTTTTTCAATGTCAGTTTGAATGGTATCAAGTACATCTTTCTTAGATATTAGTTGTTGTGGCATTGAAGTTTCTCCTAAAATGGTGTCAATTTCGTTCAATTCATCTTTCTCGAGGAATACATTCGTATTAGTGTGCATTTCAGTAACCAAGTTCGTTAGGGAAGTTTGTTCACTTCTATTCGAATTATTTTTCTCGTAATTTTCAAAAGATAATTTTGCAGGGGTTGCTTTCGTCTTTGCAACCTTAGGTCTTTTAGGTGGCTCCATATCTATGATCATATAATCATCGAAAATGCTATTACTTTTACCCGACACTGAACTTGATTTTTCAAGAGATTCTTCTGATATCGTTGCCGTAACTTTGGGCTTTTTCTTTCGTAAAGGGTGAGAATATTGTTCAGAATAACTTTCCTCATCACCTGACAGAGATGTTCTCTGTTTTGAGTCATCATCCAGAAAATGAACCTCTGAGAAAACCAAATCTGGCACTCCTTTAGTCTCAACCTTCTTCGAAGCTTTGCCTTTATTAAAAATTCCATGATGACTGCTTTTATCTTTCGATTTCAAGGTAATTCGTTCACTTCCAATCTTTTTTGAGATAAAATTTTGGACCACTTGAGAACTTGCCATCAGACTCTTATTATTATTATTAGTATTGCTAATCTTTCCTTTTTTCTTAGTTGTCACCCTATCTTGTCCTTTTTTCTTGTAACCAATTTTTGACTTATTCGCAGAAACACTCCTTTTAGTTGTTGACTTTTTACTAGCTTGTTCATTTAACGATGACTCTGTTCTTTTTGATTTATGTTGATGGTGAGACCGCGGCACCAAGTAAGAATCATTTGTGATGGAATTATCATCATCCTCACCACTTTTATCTATATTTAATAAGAACAATCTCAAGATCTGAATATTTTTGCTTCGTGTTGCCTTCAAAGTAAAATACCTGATAATTTGTGATTTTGTCCCCCATGTTTCAAGTGAACACTGATAAAATGTTATATTTAGATTATCTAACAAATCTTTTTAAAAATAAATATCATTAATAACATACCTTCTTTTTTTCAACGAAGTATTACCGACTCTCTCGACTGGAATTCCTCTTTTACGTCGCGCACTTATAAATTTCTCGTCTTCAGAAACAAGATCAGTTTCTATCGATGTAGATAGCTTCTGCTGCTCATGTTTTTTGTCGCTCTTCATGTTAGGTTTTTTCGAACCCGATTTGAAAGTTGTAGTCTCTTCTAATATAGGCTCGAAATGTGAATAATAATCTGTTCCTATGCGTGATTGTTGGATCGTTGCAAATTCCAAAGTATTTTGTTGCTTAAAATCGAAAGTATCAGTAAATGTTTGAATGTGCCTCGCGAGATTTTGTGCTGTTAAACTACAGGGTGTGTTAGAAATATTGTTAAGTTGGATACTAGTCATTTCAACATAAAAAATTAAAGAATTTGATTTTATTTCTGAAAATAAGTATAGAATTTATAAACAATATTTCAGTTACTTGGAATACTATAATATAATAATTTTTTAGTTTAACTCTAATAATGAACGTAAAAAGATAAGTATTGAATTTATCATAAGAATTGGAAAGTTTGAAATTATGTATGTGATAACCGATGGATCTAAATTTAAAATGATGAATCAAATATAATTATTTAGATAACAAAAAATCAATTCTGATTTTATTAGTCAAAAAATTTTCATACTTATAATGCTGGAGGTAAACTAGCATGGTCTTTTACCTAATTCTATATTTAAATAATTACTGATAATAATAGAATATAAAAAGAAGTCGCGAGATATCTTTCGCGACTCGAGTTTGATAATTAAGTGTAATAGTTAAAAATGCTCTCGGTCGGGGAATTGAACCCCGGTCTCCCGCGTGACAGGCGGGGATACTAACCACTATACTAACCGAGACTTTCCAGTTAACAAAGATGAATAATTTTTTTACATAATAATATAAAATTACAAGCGGACAATGTAATTGGGTGAAATTGCTTAGTAATGGCGATGAAGATTTAAAAAAATATAAATTAAAGATTAATTTTTAGTGCATGAACTAAATATTAAATATATTAATACCAACTCGAATTTCACTTGAAAAAACCATGGAAACGGCAACTCTAACAAGAATTAACATGACAGCCCCAAGTTTTACTGCTTCAGTTCCACAAAAGCCTCGATCACATTTATTCACCTGCCTAGCGTGTCAAGTTGCTTTCCCAGTAGCGGACCTTCAAAGGGAACATTACGGGACAGACTGGCATCGTTATAATTTGAAACGTAAAGTTGCAGAATTGCCTCCCGTTACCGCCGAAGTTTTTGCACAAAAGGTGTTAGCGCAACAGGTGCAGAATAGAGATCATGAGGCTAAAGCATCGTTTTCTGCGGCATGTGATGCATGCGGGTAAGTATCATTAAGAACGAAATAGAGAAATTAACGTAAATGTTCGGAAAAATATATACGGATTTTACATTTTCTTAATATTTGAAAAATCATAGTAAAACGTATTACTCGGAAAATGCTTATGCCAATCATTTGCAATCAAATAAACATAAATTGGCTGATATTAAGGCTGCACAAAATGGTATAGTTTTTTTTTTGGTGATCTATTAGTTATATTAATGACAACCACCTATTCATACTTTATTTCTAAAGGGAATAAACAATCAAAGAAACCATTAACAGAAGGAAATCTTGGTGCAAATAATACAAATAATACCAATAAAGATGTATCCACCAATATGATCACCGAGGAAACAACAGATGTATGTAAATTATGCATTTGATTTCAGCAATTATTACTTAATAAATTGTTTATCCTCCATTTCTCTTTAACTCAGGCTGAACTTCAAGAAATAATAGACAAAAAAATAGCATCAGCTGTGAAGCTTACCGAGCTGGACTGTTTATTTTGTGTTCACAAATCATCGACATTCGAATTAAATCTTAAACACATGACTAAAGCTCATAGCTTTTTTATCCCGGATATAGAATATTTGGTAGACTTGCGTGGGTTAATAAAATATCTCGGCGAGAAAATCACAGTTGGGAATATTTGTTTGTTCTGTAATGGTCGTGGCAGGGGATTGAGAAGTCTGGAAGCTGTTAGAAAACATATGGCAAGTATCTATGGATAATTTGTTTGCGAATTTTTTTCTAGTACTTAAGATTTTTCGTTTCAATAGATTGATAAAGGTCATTGCATGCTTGCGTATGATCGCGAGGAAGATATTATGGATATTGTTGACTATTATGATTTCACTTCAAGTTATCCAGATGAAGAATGGGAGGATGTAGAGGACGATGAAGAGGGAGAGGATGAAGAAATCCTGATTAAAGATACATCTGGTGAGATTAGTGCAAGAAATTTATCTGAAAGGTAAGCTTATTTGATTTAGATATTTCGAAATGAGCTTGATTTTACTTAGCATCGAATTACTTTTTAAAAATAGAGCCGACGTATTTTATACAGATAATGAAACAGAATTAATATTGCCGTCAGGCGCACGTATTGGACATCGCTCTCTGCGGCGATACTATAAACAATATTTACGTCCTCGAGAGGTATAGCATTTAATAAAATATTTACCCCATTAGTTAGTTTCTTTCACATATTCAAAGTTGCCTAATTCATTGTTGTTTTATTAAGTCGCGAGAAAAAGCAACCGTGAATCGGTTGCTTACGGATTATTCGCGTGATTTCGGTTACAAACGCACATCAAGAACCCGTGAATCCGGGATTATGGTAACACATCCGGCTAATAAAGGAGGTGCAGCGACGCGTGTTGCATTCAAGGATAAACGAAGGCAACATGAATTTGATGTACGCGTTGGTATCAAAGCAAATAAGTTACAGCGTCATTTCCGCGCTCAAACGTTTTAGGTTGTCATTTGCTTTGGAATTTACCAGTTGTAAATTATTTATTGATATAATAAGGGTTTAGTTTTGACTTGCTTTGTCTTGATTTCATATTTTGTAAAAATAATAAAATTTTGGAACAATTTATTTTGTTATAATTGTTTTATGCAATTGGCATATAAATGAAATTCACAAATACAAGCTTTTTATTAACTCATTTATTCTCCTCTCTATTATTAAAATCTGCGCATGCCCGTTTTCCAAAAAATTAAGAATATGAATGTCTTATAAAAAGGCTTCTTCAAGTTGTTCCAAATAAATAGCGAGATCCTTGACGCAATATGAAAAACGCCAAAATTGTTCGGGTAAAAATGGCTATAAGTAATGCCTTTCTCACGGCAGAATAGTAGTCTATCCACCCATCCGCCCAACTACGTCTATTTTTTTTTTTCATAAAAAAAGGAATTAAAAATTAAAAAGAGTGTTATGAATGGATCCGCAAGATAAACATTTATTTTACCTTCTTGTGGCGAGTTCCATTTTTTTCCGTCGATAAGATCCCCGATTATTTCTTAAAAAACACCAAATGAAGAAATTCACATCGGGGTAATCAAATTTTGGTCGTATCGCGTCTAATCGACGTGGCGGTTCCTCACCCGCCAAATACATCATATCCATCAGGTCACTGGTCATTTGAAGAGTTAACCCCCAAAGTTGCAAAAACTCTGTTGTTGATTGACTAGTGCTATTATTTGAAGTAGTAATGGCAAGAGGAGGAGGCGGCGTTGTAGCAGTAAGAGTCGTAGTATCATCATTATTAACATCATTATTGTTATTAATATTCTCATTTTTGACGGTTTCGACCGAGGGTAGCTTAATACAATGAAAATGTAATCGCCCGGTCAGAGTTTGTAACATCCGTTGCAAGACCCAAGAATTGGGTGCAAGACGCGAGGAAATATCGACGGAAATCGGATCCCATGCTCTAATGATTTTTTCGTCGAAAAAGTAATTGAGAGGGACCCAATGAGTGGAAGCCACTTCAGAACCAGAAATTTCTATTGGCAATGGCTCGGGCGTGATTTGGAGGAAAACTGCGAAAAGCGAGATATCATTAATATTGGTTGACAGGGAAAAAACCAGGAGAGGAATTAAATAAAAAATATTACCAAACGGACAAAGAATCATGAGTAATTTTTTGCCAAATGTTGTAGTGACCTCTCGATCATCCAATGCACCAACACAATAAAATTGCTCGGGATTCCCGAGATCCAATCCAACTTTACGAAAAATGCAAATGACATAATAATGTTTAGAAAAAGAATGTCAATGAAATAACAGAAGTGTAAAAGAATCATATCCACACCTTCTTCAAATGTTTCCCGCTCTGCCGTATCCAAATCATCAACATCCCCGGGATCTTGTTTTCCTCCGGGGAACGCCATTTGCCCGCTCCATCGATCCCCTTCTCTCAAAGCACGCTTTATATACAATATCTCGGGTATACCTTTCTGAACCCAAGGCAATTCCCAAAATTGCTCAAGATCTGTCATGACACTTGCATTATTATTATCATTGTTATCAACGTTAGTTTGCTCTGTATCTTGTATTGAAAAGGAAACTTGTTCAAGTGTATGCTTTGCAGTACTAGTGGTGGTGTTGTTGGTGAAAGAAGCAATGGGTGCTTGAGGTCGAATACGTATTATTATCGCGACACTTGCTCGGCGCGGTTGTGCTGTTGGTGATTTAATTTTTGTCGGAGGTATTCTTGAAAGATTCAAGAGGGCGATACGTAGACGTCCCAGTGGACCCACTTATAAAAAAAAGAATAGATTCTCAAGATTCATGAAAATACGCGCCGAAAAACGACAAAGATGAGCTTACCAGTTGGAGACATGGCTGTTTGACGTTTATATTCGCGAAAATAATGAAATGAGAGACTAAAAGATATATACCATACCTTCTTGAAAAGAAAGTGAGGTAGTAAAGGGTTTTTATCAGAAAAATATAGTTCGGGAGGGCATATGATCTGGATCGAACAAATAGTTTTCCTGATTTGGATCAAGTGATGGTGGGGAAAAAGCCAAGTGACCCCAAAAAATTGCTACTAGAATATTTTTGTGTATTGGAACAGAGCGAGAGGGGGAAGAAAAATTTAAATGGAAGGAGTACCTATTGTTATAGGAAATTGTTTAATTTTATTGATCTCCAATATAGTAAATTAAAAAAATTTAGGGGATTAAAAATATATTTCGTTCTTCATTTTTTAATTTGATGGATATTATCGTGGTAATCATTAACAATTTTGATTCACTCAGTCTATTGTTTTTGGATTCTCGGAGAAAGGGTGGGAAACTAATCGCGTTCATTCAAATTATTGGTGGATATAAGATTGTGGGGTAAAATATGAAAACCTGTTTCTTTTATTATATAGCAATGCATAATCTTTAATTTAGCATTGATCTACCAATTACAGATTTCCAAAAAATTTTTCGATTTAAATTAATTTAAATTTTCCGGTTTTTGGTTTGGATAACTTCCCAAAACCACCACATTAAGACAATACTGATCTAATTCGTTCAAAGCTTTCTTGACGTCCTCTTGATCTTTATGACCGTTGAATTCAATGAAAAAAACATAGTGCCAAGGACGTACCAAGGAAGGACGAGAATCAATTTTTGTAAGATTGATGTGATAATCTTTGAAAACTTTAAGAGCATCACAGAGCGCTCCAGGCTGTCTATGATCCAATGTGAATTGAATAAAAGTCTTGTCATCGTGAGTTGGCGCATCTGAAGATGTGCCAATTACAAAGAAACGGGTTACGTTATCTAAAATAAAAAATATACTCGATTAACATAATAAATGTATGAAATACAGGTAAATCAAGTTAACACGAAAAAAATTACATTGACTGTCTTCAATGTTGCGTTCCAAGATATCCAATTCGTAGAGTTGAGCACAACTTATATTGGCAATTGCTGCTGCATTTGGCTCTGTTGCCGCACATCGTGCTGCTTGACTAGTAGATCCAGCTTCCACACGTTCAACAGTTTTTAGATTGACGTCAAGCCATTTTTGGCATTGTCCAAATGCCTTCAAGAACAAAAATGAGTATGCGAAATGATGTTTCGATTTCATATGTCCAAAATCATTACAAACCTGTGGATGACTGTAGACACGTTTTAAAGTCGAAATCTTGGAATTAGACAGGAGACAATGGTGTATCTTGGATCGCAGCAATACTTTAAGGTGAATTAGAGCTTGCGATTTTACTTATCCTAATATAGGATTTTAGCGATTGCCAGGTTCTCTATAATGAGTATGACGGAATTACCTGCAAATAAGTCTCTGCTCTAATTTGAACTTTAGAGGAAATAAAGCAATCTAAGGTTTCTACTACAGATCCGAATGTAGAGTTCTCGAAAGGTACTATGCCATACGTGGAACGACCGTGTTCAACCGCATCGAACACATCTTAAATGTAAACAAAATTTATTTTCTCGTGGTCCGAAAAATAAATCAAAACACCACATATTTACCAGATATGTTTAATTGAGGCACATAATGGACACTCTCGCCAAACTTTTCGCGTGCTGCCTAAAGGTCCATCCATGGAAGAAAAATTAAAATTAGAAATATTCAAGAGAAATAATGTCTCAAACCCTTCCTTAGGCAATTTACCTGATGGGTATTGGTTCCCTCAGGTCCGTAATAACTTATCGATACTTCTTTTTGTAAGGAAATTGACGCGGACATAATTTCTCGATAGATTGCACATAAGGAATCAGATGTGAGAGGACCGTAATTCAATCGCTGAAGCTTTAACCATAGCAGGTGAAAAAATAACATAATAGCACGAAACTATATCAAATAACCTTTTCCGGTATTTTTAACAGTACCTTTTCAAAAACTTGCTTCTCGCGTCCTGGGATATATACGTGAGTTTCCTTTTCCTCGTCTTCCGAACTAAAAAAAAAGGAATGATAACATTATTGAACGCTTATGACCAACTTGAGTCAAAACAACTCATACACATTGTTAGCCTCTTTTTTGGCCTTGCCGATATTCAAAGAAACTCGAGCACGTTCATTAAGCAAATTTACGAGTTTTGTGTCTATGTTATCAATTTCTTGTCGAAGTTTCGGAAGCTCCATTTTCGAGAGACGTGCGTTTTGATGATCTCAAAAAATTTTTAAAAATGAATTGTACAACTTCCAGGTTTTATTGCAATCTTGAGTCTCAACGATCCGATCTTTAAATTCTTAATATTGTTTCTCCAGATCGATTGGATTTTCTTATTATGTTTAATCTATTAAAAAGAGTTGTACTAAAAGAAAAATTCATTGATATTCCAAAATCAAAAATAATAAAAACGGGGCAAACAGTTTCACGACTTGGCTTTGGCGGGTATCGAGTAGTAGGGCAAAACTCGAATCATCGTTTGTCCTTATACAAATCGATTCAAAATGGGATAAATGTGATTGATACGAGTACACACTTTGAAGCCGGAAAGAGTGAAGAAATGATTGGGGAAGTGATGGAAGATGTGATCAAACGTAGAATGAAAAATCGAGAGGTTTTCTGTCATTTTTGTACAGATTTCTTCTTCGTTGTTAGATGGTTGATCATGATCCGATAATTTTTGTATAGGAGATCGTTGTTATCTCGAAAGCGGGGTATGTCAATACAGATGACCCTTCATATTTAGATGATACCCGATTTGCAAAGATTAATAAAAAATCAGCGCATTCGATATCCACGGATTTTTTGGAGAAAGAAATTAGCGAATCTCTAAGGAGATTACGCATGAAAAAAGTGGATATATTTATGATCAATAATCCAGAGCGAATTTTGAAAGCAACGAATAAGGTAATCTAGTGAAAAATTTTCTCCTAGAGTAGAAGCCTTATATTCTGAAATCTCTCTTTTTTAGATATATTCATTGGATCGATTATATAAAGATATAACGGCTGCATGCGTGTTTCTTGATGAAGAATGCAAAAAAGGTGAGAGATAATTTTGATTTTGATTAGGACTAAAAGGTATATTACTCGGCCACATAACTATGATATACATGCAGGTAGAATCGGCGGGTATGGGATATGCTCAAATTCAATGGCGATTCCAAAAGCGAATGATCACATTTCCTTACCGAAGATTTTGGCCGACTTGCCAGCTAACAGTCGGTATAATCTGGTAGCCATAGAAACACCATTAAATATTTTCGAACGAGATGTTCTAGAAAGTAATGGAGAACTTCACTCCTTAGCGGATATAGCAAAAGTATAAAGTAACGCTTAAAATTAAAAGGAACGTCAATTAGATGCTAAAATTCTCTTTCTCTCTTTTAGATGAATGATATTTTCTTGTTCACTAATCGTCCATTGCATGCAATTGCCGGTGGAACAATACATAAGTTGGTGAACAATAAAGATGACATCGTGTGTGAGTATAAAGATGTCTCGAGCTAAAATAATTTCAAGCTTTAATTAACTATAAATCGTGTCACATTAAAGCCGAACAAGAAATCCTCGGTAATCTGGAACTTAGTTTCACAAGTTTGAATGAACTTGAAAATAAACTGAGTGAAACACGTAAGTCATTAATCTCATTTGCCAAACCGAACAAAAAATTATTGTATTTCCTCGTATTACATAAGGAAATTTATTTATTTCTGGATCATTTATGTACAAGTCGGTATTGGCTTTCCAATATCAACAAAGTTTGTCTGGTCTAATGTATTAGCTGAGAATTTGGCACGATTATCAAAAAGTTATTTTGCCGCAAGTCATTATCTCGAAAAGGAGGTGCTACCCTCTATCATGCGTGATTTAAAAGATCTGTCAGACCACAACAAAAATACGGAAGAATTGGATCGTGAAGAAAAGTTCCGTGTTGGAATTTGGATTTCTGATTATGAAAAAGTCTGTTTTTATTTCGATTGGTTCAGCTTTTATCCTTTTACTATAATAAAAAAGTTCATTTTCTTTTTATTGCTAGCAAACAAGATGCCTAATTCAACTCATCCTATCATACGCTCGTGTGCAAGCATTACAGAGAAACGACGAATTAGAAACGCTCATCACGAATTTTTCTCCTTCATTATCAGAATCCTATTCACCTGAAGAAGGCACGAAATTTGATGACATGATTTCTCAATACTCTCCATTATCAGTAAAAGCGTTAAGAATCATACTGGCTGATCAACGCGTTGGATGCGCGTTAATCGGAATGAGAAGACCAGAACATGTTAAAGATGCTTTACTCGCTTTAGAATTACATCAGAAAGAGCATGATAATGAAGACATTATTCCCAGTGATTCATTTAAAGTAATTGATGATTGGATAATGTGTAAATAAAACGCGTAATAAGATCACGTGATTGTAAAATCCAAATAGGCCAAGATGTTCGGCACATCCCAGAAATTTCTATAAATCCTGTTAGGTAGGTAATGTTTCGCGTCTTGCCACTTTTTATAACGAAAAGAACCATGCCGCCAAAAAGAAAAGTTACAAATAAAACTTCTTCCCTTCCTATAAGCTCTTATTTTAAAAAGATAAGCGACGCTAAACAACTCGATTCTGAAAAGTCTGAAGACCAAGAAAACGACGTGTTTGCCGTTCCAATGAGTGATCACGAAGAGTCTACGCGTCCTACAAAGAAACCGAAAAAGTCCAAAGGATCTGAGCAGCAGCCTTCGGAAGAAAAAGGCAAGCAGAAAGAAATTGAAGTTAAGGAGCCGGCAGATAAAAAGCCAGCAACTAGAAAAGCTTCCAAGACGAAAAAAGACAACGAAGAGCCTACCGTTACTTCCAACACTATTCCAAACAATACTACCATGCCTAAACAATTAGTTTTCCCAGCAAAACCTGAAGGAACGGTAAAGTTTGTGTCATGGAATGTCAGTGGGCTAAAAGCCTCACTCAAAAAGGTTATTTTTCGAGAATTTAATTTAGTAGTGAAATTTTACTTTGATGCATAATAGTAGACGCGTATTTTTTTTTCCCTTTAGGGTTTTAAATTCTATGTGCAAGCTGAAGATCCGGATATCTTGTGCTTACAAGAAACAAAAATAAATGAACCGATGTATGATATTGTGGATGGAGAAAAGTACAAGTGTCGAGAATGGGGATTTGAAGATAAAAAAGGATATGGTTAATATTAATCGGCACATCGAACTTGTAAATTTAGGCATTTATGTCTATTTAAATTCAATTCATATAGGTGGTATTGCGATTTTCTCAAAAATTGAACCTATTTCAAAAACGTATGGCCTTCCCACTCATCCGAAGCCTGATATCACGAAAGGTCGCATAATCACGCTCGAGTTCCCTACTTTATATTATGTGGCGTGTTATGTTCCAAATGCTGGTGAAAAATTAGTCCGATTGAAAGAAAAAATTGAATGGGATAATGCCATGGAGAAATATCTTCGTGAATTGGACGCAAAGAAACCCGTTATTTGGGCGGGGTAAGAATCTTCGTGGTAAAAGAAAATTGATTTTTTCAAATCTAATAACTGTTTGTTCAGGGACTTGAATGTTGCTCACAAGGAAATTGATCTGGCAAGACCTGAATCAAATTCAAAGTAAGATATTTGATTTTTATAGTAAATTGGGTGATGATACAAGAATTAATGTAGTGAATGTGTGTTTAAAGAACTGCCGGATTCACTCGAGAAGAACGTCAAGACTTCGAAAAAATTTTGAATGGAGGCGAAGACAAGTTTATTGATACTTGGCGCCACTTCCACCCAGACACCAAAGGCGTCTACACATATTATTCGTACAGATTTCAGGCACGCGTCAAAGGAATCGGCTGGCGTTTGGACTATCACGTAGTAAGTGAAAGATTATTGGATAGAGTCGTCGAAAGCGAGATGAGGTAAATAAATTTTTTATTTATGTTTGCTATGATTGAATATACTTACTAACGTCTTGCTCTATAAAATTTATTAGAAGCGAATGTTGGGGCGCTAGTGACCATATTCCTTTGGTTTTATTGCTCAAAGACGATTTGTAGATATGTTAATGGTGTAATAAAAAATGGGCTGAAGTATTTTAATCATGCTGTTTTATGGTATTATAATAATAGTAATAGTAAATAATAGTAAATAATAGTAAATAATAATCATAATCATATGATATAGGGTATAATACTACTAGTCATACTTTTATTATCTTATTTCTACAGTTTAATATAATAAAGGTAACCTTTAAATAAAACCTCATAATCTACCCAATGCTCTATTAGTGCTAAGAATAAAAGTGGTGATACAAGTTATTCCAAAAGCACCTTTAATTATTTATCAGAAATCTTCAAAGTCATCTTCCACACCATTAACAGCCGTAAATAAAAACAAAGTAAAACTGCTTAAAAAGTGCATCTCAAATCCAGCATATAAACTACCAATCCCATAATTATCAAACCAACTTCGTTGTCGTCGCCTTTTCTGATTCGGAACATATCGCTGACTGATACCCTCTTCCAAAATGATTCGGTAAATACAATCAAGTATTCCGAGATAAGGTGCCTGACGTGTCTGTACAATGGTCTCAAATCGTTTCCCTGGAGTACGTGAGCGAATCTGACATTGTAATCGTTTACGCACCGTCTCTAATGGTAACGTGATTAATAATTTTAAAGTGTGTAATCCGAGACGTGCCAAGCCATATAAAACCGGCGAATCAGCGGATGAAATATGAAAAATACGATCGATTATTAATGGAATTGTGCATTCCATTAGCGGGCTGATCGCATGATAGACAATGGATGGCAAAAGATTGTGGGACCAATAAAGAGAAGTAAATCCCTCTTCGGCAATAATAGTGCGAATACAATCGAACGTGCCATTATATTTTTTGTGCAGCGGAGATGCTGTTTGCACTATTAATCTATCTCAAACGAGGAAGATTATGATTCGTGAATATATGTATTCAAAATGCGTCTTTGGTTAACATAATTACCTTGTTTTTACTAGTTCCAAAGGACTTAGAATTACCCCCGCAAAAACATGGCTCGCTACAAGAGTGGCAATGTTCGGTCCGACACGATCCAGATAGACCAGCGGAATTGTATCATCATACAAGTCGAAGACATCATTCAAGACACCTTCGATGGTTGATTGTACAAACAAATGCGACATCTCATATATCCAATTCGTCAATTGTCCTAAGTTAGAAATAATGATACTTTTTAAAATATAAGCAAATTCAAAATATCCATCTAATTTAACAATAAAACATTAATATTTACCTTTCCAGAGTGAAAAAAATCCTTCAGTTTTATGTTTCGTTAACAGTTGTATAGTATTCCAGACCCCTTTCTCTAAAGGTGGCAACATATAAATCGGCCGTGTTGCTTCATCATAAACATTAGTGTTCACCAGATAACCTTGATTATCTGAGGACCTATTTCTTCGAGATTCCGTAGCTAGTGGCTGTGTAGAGCGTTGGTGTCCATTATAAAATTCCTCATCATCCGTTAACTTAAAAAGACGCGACCAAAAATGATTTTTAAATCAAATATGCAATTAATTCGTATGTAATTGAAAGAATCTGCATTCCAAAATAATATTAAAAATATATCCGCACAATCACGCACTTCTTCCTCAGACTCAGGTGCAATTTCGGGTGGAAGTGGTACCACGTCTTCGTTCGGCAAATATTGGACTTGTAAGAGAGTTTTGGCCACGTCAAAAGGCTCTGAGAAAGCCGAGCTAAAGAATTTTAATGTCGCAAAACCCGCAAAGGTTTTAACAGCATTTTCCGAGTCTGCGTTTATTTGTCCGTGTTTTTGGGTTTTATCGTCCAAATTACTAGTAGCATTTCCTAAAGAAGGCGTGTAAAAGTGTTGCACATCGGTAGGATTATAATAGGGTCGAAGCGGGTGAACGGTAGTTGATTGCGGAAAGGGAGTATAAGTATACTTTGGAGTCGTTTCTGGTACAGCAGACATTATCGGGTTTCTTCACCTTTCGAAAGTTCACAGCGCGAAGCGGGAGTCGAAATCCTACAATTATCTTCCAAATAAAAAATCTATTCAGATCACATGCCTGTAAAACTGCGAATTTATTTACGCGATTCCCCCATAGAAAATGTAAAACTTTCACGTTCTATCAAATATGGCCAAGTCTGATAATGTTCAAGAAACTTCCGCTGTCCGGTAAAGCAAAATTCTAATTTATACTCTGGTCAAACTAAATTTGTCTTCTAAGCCGCGTAACTCTTACATGATATAAAATTTACAATAGACTTCTTATTAATGTCGACAAACTTCAAGAGTATTTAGCTTCAGAGATACCCGAGTTTCAAGCTCCTTTAGAGGTTAGACAGTTCAATTATGGTCAAAGTAATCCTACGTACCTTCTTATTGATGCAAGGTAAGTAAAGAACAATGTTAAATTCTTGTTTAGCTGTCTTAAGTTATTTGCTAATTAGAAACTTGATATAGTAAAAAGCGATATGTTCTTCGAAAAAAACCTTCAGGTACTCTTTTATCGACTACTGCTCACGCTGTTGAACGTGAATTTCGAATACTTGATGCACTAAGCCGCAACACTGACATTCCTGTGCCTCAGGTTTATCTGCTTTGTGAAAATAAAAGTATAATTGGGACTCCATTTTATGTAAGAAACATGAAGACTATTTTCGTTCTTTGTAATGCATTCATTAATCATACAAAATCAACAAAACGAAAAAAGGTGATGGAATTTCTCAAAGGTCGAATTTTCAAAGATGCATCATTTTCGTCTCTTTCACCGAACGACTGTAAGCAATGGTATGTTAAATTTTATGTTGATTCCATATTTACAGTTCTATGAGCTCATCCATTAGTCTTGAAACAGTTGGTATTCGGCTATAGACACTTTGGCCAAGCTTCATTCCGTTGATTATAAATCCATTGGACTGGAAGGCTATGGCAAACCTTCTGGATTTTATTCTCGGCAGATCCGTTCATTACTCAAGGTTACTGCCGTACAAGCAGCTGTTCGAGACGAAAATGGGGTAGCGGTTGGCGAAATTCCCAGATTAGATGAAATAATAAAATGGCTCAAAAGAAACGAACTTCCTGATGAAACTACAATTGTGCATGGAGATTATAAGGTAATTAAGATTCGTATCTAAAATTTTTTTGAATTTATCTTAAAATAATTTTATGTTTCTACTTTAGATAGACAATCTGGTAGGTTGTACTTATTCACGATTGATTGCGCCATGCGAACTCGTATAAATCACGCATGTTGATTTATCTAAAGGTCTATCATCCAACCGAATCGCGCGTCATTGGAATATTGGATTGGGAATTGTCTACAATCGGGCATCCGATGTCAGATGTTGCAAATCTTCTCATGCATTATTATGTAAGACAAGGTGCTTTTGAATTTATCCCTGGTTTCATCGGCGCCAAAGATATTAACGTACCGTCTTTGGAGGATTTGATGCAACGTTATTGCGAGAAAACAAAAAGACCGTATCCAATCAAAAAATATGATTTCGCAGTAGTGTTTAGTTTTTTTAGGGTACGAGCCTTGTTTTTCTTTTTCAGATTTCATTTATATATATATTCAAATGTAGTTTACATTTATTAACACATCTGAATTTGCAGTTCTGTGTTATTTCCCAAGGTATCGATGCTCGTGTTGCATTAAAACAATCGAGTTCAGCAGAGGCGAAAAAGTTTAGTGGCATATTCAAGAAAAGTGCAGCATGGGCACTCGAAATAATAGATCGTGGTGATTTGGTCACTCAAAGCAGACTTTGAATGGAAATTTGATACCGTCTTTATTCACCTGTCAAAAGATGGATTCAAACGTTTATGGATAAATTATTTATTATTTTCATCAATATATAAGTTTTTGATTGCAACAATTAGAATTGCAATGGTTCCATTATTTATATTTCATTCGCGGTATATTAGTTGTTTAAATGCATTTCTTTGATGCTGATATTTATAGTTGACGTACTGATGAATAAATAACTCAAGTTAACAGTCTGATTGATTATATATATTATTTTCAGCAAAAGGCATTTCTTTGTTTTGCCTTATTCTCATAACTTTACATAGTGACCACAAAGCCAAAATAATAGATTAATCCTGAAATTCTAAAGCATTGGTTATTACCGATAATAAAGATGTCATTTAATAAAACGAGATCCAAAAAAAAGAAACCGATTACACCTGGTATAATTTATTGTGCTTAAATAATTAAGCTATAGATATAAGGAAGCTGCAAATATAATATCTCGCCTTATCTTCTCCATAGCTGCAATGAAAAAGATTTTTAAAGTTACATTTTATTAGATTGACAAAGTCTAGAGATAAAATTTTATTTTACCTTCTGAAAATTTATTCTCAAGTTCAATGTTTCCGATAATCTTGGTTGCAGAGACCATTGTACGAAGTAGTTCGTCTAAACTACGGAAATTTCTGATTATATTGCCTTCAAACATACTTGTATATTTGCATATTTCCGCAAATTTCGCTCCCTAACAAAAAATGTTTCGTTTAGTTTATTCTTGATCCAATTTTTTATGTTAATACTAAAAATACTTGCTTTACACCAAGCGTATACTATTTCCATCATGTCCGAATGAAATTGTTGGACATATTCTTCTTCATCCATACTTGGCACTTTACATTCTATACTGATTTGCGCAATTCGTCGTGCAGTTTCTTTTAATATTTGAAATGGTTTCATAAATTCTTCTTTTAGAGTAGCACCTGTCTCTTCAGCTTCCATCTGGACAAAACAACTCATCACAGCAGCCGTCGTCTCAACGGACAAATCATTAAAAACCCCATTCATTAACATTTCGGTGAGCACTAATTCGTCACCACAACTGATCTCACATGCAACACGACCCTTAATGTCTACAACATCACTGGCGGTAATATAACCCAATCGTCGTAATACACGCTTCCGGCATTTAAGTTCGTCTAGTTGCATAATAGAATGAGCGGATTGAATTTTTTTCTTGAGCCCCTTAATTTTTCTTTCTATTAGCATCTTCTTGCTATACATATCATAAATTTCGGGAAGTCGAGGAGAATTATGCAATGGATTCTGTAAAAGTTTAGTCTCGAGGACTTCAATTCTCTAACGTAAAAGCAAATCATTAATATCAAAACAAAATAATGTATATCACATATTATTTATATACATGCAATCAAACTAACCCTCATTAATTTCTTGAATTGTTCATCTGTTATTCCCATATCACTAACAGGATCCAAAAAAGGTGGTCCATTTGTAAATCTTTGGAACACTTCTTGCATACTTTTATAAACTGAATTACGTTGCTCTAGCGGTTTAAGGTCTTTTGGAGGGAAAATACGGATCTCCGTTATTCCATCCAGACAGGCTAAATCTACGGGAACAACCTAAATGCAAAATCAAGCATTAATTATTAGAATATAATTATGAAAGTTCAAAAAAACATCATCATACCATCATTTCTCCTTTTTGGTTCTCAGGACAAGGTCTCACACCGGTTGTACTTCCATCGGCATTTTTGGCGACACTAGATTTCGCATCGCAATAAAGCAGTACATCAACAATGTATTGAGACTTTTTATTGACTTGTGTTGAATTTTGAGTGCTTTCCGTTTCCTATTGAAAACAAAAATACATGATAAAAAAAATGTCAAGTAACAATAAAAGCGAGAATCATAAAGAATATTATTTACCTTTTTCTTCTCAAAGCTCACCACCATGCCATAACCAAAATCCATATTATCATGCTTAACCCTGACCAATCTTCCGGTCTGCAGAAAATGCAAACAATAATTCGGCTGGTTTATTACATCACGCATATCTTTTGAATAAGTTTCCAATTGTTCACGCAGTTGATAATAATCCGCGATAACCTCTTCATCGGGTATATCAAGAGAAGCTTTTTCTTCTTCGAGACGTGCAAGTTCTGTAATGAAAATATAATCTCAGTTAGCATGTGATTTAGTATCTAAAAACTAATTAGAAAGATTTATAATGAATTGCATACTTCACCCTCTTCTAGAGCGGGTAAACTAGCAGTATTTTGGAATTGATAGAAACTACGTTGAAGAATGTATTCGGGACTGAACCCTTCTACTCTAGTCATGTTTAATATCATAACATATTTTAACTGAAATGCAGATGTCAAATGATCCGCTTCTCCCTATAAAATTCAAAAATATTAGTATGAACAAAAATTCGAAAATATGATTATTAGACAAACCTTTATCATATTTTTAATAACAGACGGATCCATTTTCTCAGTAACCATCATAAATACGATTCCACGTTCATCAAGACCTCTTCGACCAGCCCGACCCGACATTTGAATATACTCACCAGAAGAAACCTTTTATTAAAATAGAACAAATAAAGATTTGTTTAACTTTTAGAAAATATATATATATACATATCTCTCTTAAGTACACGTCAATAATTTTTAAATTGGACCTACATATCGCGTGGTTTCCCCGTCAAACTTTTTCACGTTTGAAAAGACGACAGTCTTTGCCGGCATGTTCAGACCCATTGAAAAAGTCTCGGTGGCAAATAAAACTTTGATTAAACCCTCTTGGAATAATATTTCAGTCACTTCTTTTAAGAAAGGCAATAAACCTGAATGATGAATACCAATCCCACGCTTCAAGAGGGGCAATATGGCACCTATTTGAGGGAGATTACGATCGTCGTCTGATAGAGAACTGATAGCATTGGTGAAAACTTGCTGCACCATTTCTCTCTCAGTTTCTGTTTATGGTAATATCATTATTTAGCATTCTTTCATTTAAATAAAATACATAGCATCGTCAAATCATATTATCACACACCATCGTTAAAATCAAAAGTGACGTCTTGCGCTAAATGTTCACAATCTTTTTTACTAAAAGAAAAAACTATAACCGGATTATAATTCTTTTGCATGATCATTTTAACAATTTTATACATGTCCGATGGTCCTGAAAATTTATTTATAAAAGTTAAGCTGGTGGTAGAATAAATAGCCGTTTTGTACATGAAATTCACTAACTACCTTTTGCTTGCTCATTTCGTCCTCTCTTGCCTTTTTTGCTTTTACCACCTAGCGGATAATCTCCTTCCCAATCCTTTTTTAATGCAGCGATCGCTTGTTGGAAAATATCCTCGCGAAATACGCCCTTCTCGTCGACAACCATATAAATACCATCAGTCCCTGAAGGAAATACATAATGTTGCAAAGGTGTAGGGCGGAAGTCGGTATATACCACATGGCACGGCTAATTATCCAAGAAATAATTGTGAATCAATGTAAGAATCTTCTGAATTCAAAAATACGCTATACCTGCTCATGTATTTTACATATCCACTCTGCAAATTCCATAGCATTTGGAATTGTTGCAGATAAGAATACGTAATGAACCTGGTGAGGTAACAATATAATCGTTTCTTCCCATACAACTCCACGAGCTAAAGGAAGACGAAGATTAGAATAAATTTCTTTCAATTAAGGATAATACATAAAGATATATATATATATACACATACCTTTATCACGCAAATAATGAATTTCATCAAAAATAACCCATGCTACTTCACGCATTACTTCACTACCTCGGTAAAGCATAGCGCGTAAAATCTGTAACATTAATTAGAAATCGAACAAATATACTATAACGGATAAAATTGAATCATTAATAACTACAAATCAAAACCTCGGTTGTCATAACAAGGCAACTTGCAGTTGGATTGATTGTAACATCTCCTGTCATCAATCCTACATCGCCAAACTCTTCTTGCAATTCTCGATATTTTTGATTGCTTAATGCCTATCGAAATTTATTTTTCGTTAATCATTTCATTTAAATCAAGAAGTATCAACATAATATAATACCTTGATAGGACTGGTGTAAATGACTCGTTGCTTATTTTTCAAGCCCTGAGCTATTGCATATTCAGCAACCACTGTTTTGCCTGCCGAAGTATGAGCACTCACTAATACCGACTCTGATCTCTCTATACAATTAATTGCCACTTTTTGAAATGGATCAAGTGTGAAAGGGTATGTACGCGCTAATTCTGGCGGTGACACATGTTCGGCAAGGGGCACATATGGATAATTAGGGGGAAGAGCAACTTGATGTCGAACCTTTTGAAATTAAATGCAAGCGCATGTAAGTAATTCCTTTCTCTAGTAAAAATGTTCAACATGCATTTCAAGCAATGAGACTTACTTGGTGAGTTAATGTAACTCTACTTTCTGTAATCGGCGCGTCAGAGGTTAGATCAGCAGTTGCAGGTACCTCTCGAACAGCTTCCTGTTCAAAAACATCTGCAACGACTGGTTGCTCGTTTACCGTGTAAATCTTTGCTTTTTTTGCCTGAGATTCATGCTCGTTTACTAAATCAGCGTCAAAAGTTTCTCGCTTCTTTGAAGCAGAAGCTCCGCTGGTATTGGTCCCATTAAACATTTTGTTTGAAAAATTTCCAAAACTGTTAATTGACAGAAACCAAAAAACGACACTTGTATTATGTTTATCATTACCCAAGATTTCTGATCCAGTGATTATTCCGAATCATAAATTTCAATTCTCCAAACACATGAAAATTATTTTAACTTTCCATGTATCATCCACCAAGAGGCGGGGTTAGAGGCGGCAGGGTAAATCTCCCTAAAATCATATATATTTACTTATTGATTTCATATAAAAGAACTTATTGACTTAAAATTATACTTTATCTCTTCGCAGGACCAATTCAATTGTAAGCTTAGGCTTGGTTTTGTCTTGCTTTTTGTCATATCTTAATTAATAGTTTTAGTTTATATTTCGTGGTCTTAAGAAAGAAATAACTAACTGACCTTATATTCCACCTACCCATTTCTTATAGGGGAGTAAGTATTATTTTCGTTAATTAATTGAACAATGTAGATACTGGATTCTATCAATAACTATTTTTCTTGATATTTTAAAGGGATGTTAAGACAGACAAGTATCGAGAGAATTATCTAGGTCATTCGGTTTTTGCTCCCGTGGGAAGGTATGCAGTTAATTTTAATCTTGAACAGTTAATCAAATACGGGCTCTTAATATTCTCTATTTACTTTGAACACCATAGATGGCAACAAGGTATATAATATGTTCTCAATTGCCAAAAAAATTGTCTAGCTTCTTTTGATCTTCAATTAATTGCAAATGTTCTTGTATATAGGTAAAGATCTTACATGGTATGCTAAAGATAGTAGCCAGGAACAAGCTCGTCAAGAAGAAATTAGAGCAATCAAAGAAACGGAAGCAGATGTTATGGCTGAATTTTTGTAGGTAAAGTTTTTAATATACGTATTAAGAAAAATTTTAATCGAGAAACTTTAATATTTTCACATGATTTATAGGGGAGCTGGCAAAAGGAAAGTAGTTACTACAAATGTATCAAAACAAGAGCTAAATAACATTTTAAAGAAAGAACAAGAAGAGGATGCAGATGATGACGAAAATATAGTCAAAGTCAATCAGGAAGCCTCAAAAGGATTAGGATTTAGAAGGTTTTTATCGGATTTTTTGTGAGAAGTTATTATTTTATTAGAATGATATAGATTAAATGCTGTGTTTTGTATTTTTAGTTCTGGAAGACTCTTAGTCGCAGAAATGCTTCCTGAAATTGCTCATAATGAAAGATCCGGTCAAAATAATGACAATATGAGCGGTTTGGTTGTTTCAGACGATACAAAATATATTGCAGAAAGTGGTAATAGTCGACTTACTTCATCAAATAATATTCCAATTAATGTTGATCGCAATTTATCTACCATTAAAAAGCAAAGTAAAGAAAAAACTAAGAAACATAAAGAAAAGCACAAGAAAAAAGAAAAGCATCGGAAAAAAGATAAACAGAGGAAAAAACACGCTTCAAGTGAATCTCCATATATATCAGCATCGGATGAAGATGGCTCTTTAAGTGAAAGGCCATCTCGAGATTCAAGAATATCACGTGATAAAAGACGTCGCCATTCCCCTTCAAAGAGGAAAGAAAGATCTAGAGAAATATCAAGATCTAATTCGCCTAGACAACGTCATAAATCGCGTTCACCTGTATTTCGTCATTCTAGACGTGAGTCATCTCCTTATTTTCGTTCCCGTTCCAAGTCACCTCCCCCCTCAAGACGTGAAAAATCCCGTTCAAGATCTCGCTCGAAATACCGAACAAATACATCGTTGAGACGGGACAGTTCTAGAGAACAACGGCGTCATCATAGAAGTTATAGAGATGATGAATATCGTCATGATCGGGATAGAGAAATACATTCGTCAACTAGACATCATCGTACTAGAAATGATATTGAAGATTGAATACGAATTGAATTAAAGGGATACGTGAAAATATGTGAGCTTAATTCATTTTAAAGTACATGTCAATGCAGAAACTGTTTTCTGGGTAAGACTATATTACCAGCTCTAAGCAGCTCCTTTTCTAAGAGATTAATAACTTTTTCGTTCGTCCATATTTTAATTTATTTAATTTGACATTTAAGATTATCTTGTTGCATATCTTATAATTTTTACTTTAAGAATAAAGAAAAACGCTAGTGCATAAAATTTACAGAGCAAACGAAAAAAAAATGATTTTATATTACATTTAAGAGCTTATTAGATCTTCTGTTTAGAGTAGGATTCAATGGATGACGAATAAAATTTCGCGTGGCGGGTGAGTAATAAACATCTTTTATTTTTTTCATCTCATTATAAATATTATATACAGTCAAAGCTCTACATAACGATCCCATTGTATAACGAGATTTGGTTATTGCGAACTTTTGGAAAACTCCCAACTATATAATAAAGAGCATTTGTTTATAACGGTTTTCTATGAACGATCATTAGAACGGTTTTTTTGTATAATATAACGATAGTTGATATGATGTGATACTACTAAAAGAAACGAATAAACTTTGATAGAAAATGGATCCGAAACAAATTACAGGATTAATACTACAACATTATCGGATAACACGAGAAGCTGTAGTAATAATTATGTAATTCATCAAAGAAGTTTCGTATATATACGAATATACGAATTACAAGAAGAATCGCCGTCGGCTCGTCTCCATCTCAGGCTTTGAAATTTTAGATTAAATTTAAATTAGTCAAAAATAGAAGGTATTAATTCGTCATTAATTTATAATTACCTTGAACATCCATTCGTAATCGCCGTTTTTTTCAAATGCTCCTTTTTGTAACCATTTGAGTTTGAGGGTGAATCGAGGACCAAGCTCTTGCAAGTCAACTCGCTCTTTATTTTTGAATACATATCTAGAATTATTTTAACAAATTCATTATATTGCATAATGTATTTAATAATATGTCAAAATTGTAAATCACATACCTATGTCGTCTGAAGAATATAAAATCACGTTGATTATGAAAAGTTGCTACTTGACGTCCTTGAAACTCAGGCACATGTGGAAAAAGTGCTTGAAACCAGCGTCCAACTGTGTGCCCCAATCGTGTACTAAAATTGTTAAGAATCAATTCAGGTTTATGACAAGACGAGCGTCCGTGACCCTGAAAGAGGAACGAAAAAATACATCAAATCCTCAAAATCTATTTAATTATAATAGATAATATAGGAAAAACATATTTACTCGAATTTGTTTACTCAATTTAATACTTGTAAGTTTGAAGTAAGCGGTAGGTCCATCTGGTAGATGTATTAGAGTGATACCCCCTGATTTTATGAAAGAAAATATTAGTGGAAGATACAGATAAATAATATCTTAAATAAGACACATTCTCACTTACTGGGACATTTTTTATCCTCGTTCACCACCATTATATCGGTGAATCCACGATTATTACAAAACTCCACTATCTGTTTAATAGTAAACTGCTTTCCACGTCTGACAAATTGACTATTCGGAAAAACATCGACTAATTCCTCTGCAAATTCGTATACGTTTTTTGATGCTATTTTACTGGTTGTTATCAGTAATTTAGGTACAATCCCCTCTCTAAAGTATTGAGAGAACTCGTCGCTCGCTTCATCCTCTATAACTTCTTGATCCTCTCCAGAGACTATTGTTTCGTCGTATTCTCTTGTGTTTTCAAGTGTTTTAGGAACATTTTGTGCAAGACGCTCCTACTTTACATACAAGTATAGAGGGGAAAGGATGCATTTGATATAATGAAGTGTACCAGGAAATGTTTCAAAGACTGAATACCTTCTTTTTTTCGGGATCTTCAGCTTCTTCCTTCCGTCTTTGAAGTTTTAAGGCCAGTTTTCGGCGGTTTTTCTCCTGATGCTGTTTATTATACACTTCATCGCGTTTTATTTTATTCTTAATTTGAGAAGGAAGGATTGTTGCCATGATTTGTATTGTGTCATTCAGATCCTGATCGTCATAAAATTATAATAATAATAATAATAATAAAAAGAACTCTTCCCACTGATCACTCTGCCCAAAAATTTAGAAGCGAGGAAAAAACTTATTACATATATTAAACTTCTTTTACTACATATTTTTATACATATACAGCATAATCTAACTTCTTTTACTCTTCCTCTTTCCCTTAATATTAATATTATACATAATTTCTTTTTTCTTCTTTATAAAAACATAAAAAATATCAAAAATACACAAAAATATAACAAAAAACCCAAAAACAAAATTTTCTCTTTAATATCCTCCTCTCTTCATGCCATCATGGCACAAAATACAGACAACCCAAACTCACTAAGCATATTCAAAGCTACTAAAGTTTCTGTTTACTTCATTTTTACTATACTCATAACACCAATATCTTTAAATTTTTTTCAAAAACAAGCTTCCTCTTCTTCCTCTAATAATCACAGAACTCTAGCCAATCAAAGTAGCTCAAAACACAAATAAAAAAAACTTGCAGAAATCACACTGATCCATATTCAAATCCTGATTCAGAAAATCACTACATCACATATAGTATATCCTCACACATGTCATTATTCAAAGATGAATCAGATATCAAGTTAACACATAAATCAGATGACATAACCAGCATGAATCTAGATATCACTAATTATTAATCTGAGATATCAGAAATAAATAACCAATTTTCACCAATCAATTATAACACAACTTTCCAACTCAATCAAAATAATCAACATAATACATATTATAATTAATCACTTATTCATGTGGTGTAGTAGACACAGCATAGTATATGGTGTAGTCATAGCACATGACGTAGTAATTACTAATCACTACTAAATTGGATGAATAAGTAATTTTATTAATTAATCTTATTTATAATTAATTTTATTTTTAATCTATATTATTACTCATATTTAGTCTTTTTAGATATTAATTCAGTTATGTGTGTCATATCTAATTTATAATTTTATTAAATTAATAATTTTCTAATTAATTATTATTAATTTCCTTTTATTTCTCACTTTAGTTTTGAATAACTTAATATTTCACTAATTTTAAATTCTTTATTATCATGTATTTAATATTTTTTGTGATTATTCTTTTG